CGATGAACAAGCACAAACCTTTTTCTACTTTCTCTCTACAGTGCGTTGAAATTTACCGTCCGTACCCATCTAACAATCTACATTTCACCCCTTCCCCTTCATTGTTGATTTAAAAGACGTTTAGGCCCAGGCAAGCCCCAACTGAAGCCAACTCTGGAAAAGGAAATGGGGACCGCAATACGTGTACGCAATGTTTCAACAAATTAGTTATCGATAAAGCGACTGAAGATAACCGCGCGCAAGTCCGATCACTTAGCTGGGGAGTTGGGTGATCCCCTACAGATATTCAAAGTAAACTGGAGCAAACTGACTGTAACTAAAGCTAAAAACTTACCTGATAGTTTTGGCGACAAAAGTGCTAGGCCGAAATGAAATGTGGCACCAGTATTGTGTTTCGAAGAAATTAATTCCCTTTTCAATTGATTTCTCGGAAAATGACCGGACTGCAACAGTGCGCACAAGTTCATTTGAAGTAAATATTAACATAAAGAAGCAGGAGTGGAATCTGGGGGCAAGGTTAGTTTAACCTGGGAGTTAAAAATTATATATAAACTAAACAAAAATAAACCTCTAAAATTAAACAGTGGCAGCGAGTGATACATTGTTGCACTAAGTACCCTGCATGAAACAATTTTTAACTTTTTGCTACACACACACACACTTAAAAAAAAACAGAAGTAACGCAATGAGGCATGCGGCGTCACAGAGTACCCTTAAGCGTAATCACGTGATTTCTGAGAAAAAAAGAAACCCGAGTCATGCGGTTTCAAGCGGAACTCGAGGTATTGTTTCGGAATTATCTGTAGTACTTGTGAAATAATTTGAAATGAAATAATTATCATATCTAGCAACTGGAATGTGAAATAATTTTTACTTGAAAAATTATTTGCCATGAAAGTAGTTTTGCCACTTAGGGGATCTTTCTGTAGTTGCTTGGAAGATGGCGACCAGGCTCAAGCATCCTATCATTGCAAATCCAATTGTTTGTAGAAAGAGTGAGTTGAAAAGTACATTTTCCGCAAAAAATAAATTAAAAAGGTGACAACCTTTCCATTACTAATAAGATGTGTTTACAACACTGAAGAACACGTTTAGCCAGTCACCATTGACTAGTTTGATTATACAATTAAAAAATTCCGCTTTCGTTTTCTTTCCTTTGTTTTATTCGGATTATTTTAGAAAAAGCGTGGGAACAAAACAGGCGCTGCAAGGTCCAACTAGATACTGAACGATAAAGGTCAACATCTCGTATTTCTTGTTCCTGTCTGACCAACAACGATACAGATGCGTTAACCCTTTAAACCCTACGATCAAAAACTGAATTCTCATTTGTTCCCCTAATTTATTTCCCACAGAAGTAGTGGGGAGAAGTTGATGAAATATCAATTAAATTCATCTTGTGTGATCATGTCCGTAATTCTCATGACCACTGTGCAGGGCCGTAGCCAGGAAGAAACTACAACCGAGGCGAACACACGGTCCGTTGTACGAAATCAGCCGTATGAAATCTTCTAATATTATCAGTCTGATAAAAAAAATAAAAATCGACAGTATTTGGTAAAATTTATCCGAGGCGAGTGCCTCGGTTCGCCTCATACTGGCTACGGCGGTGCTGTGTTATACAAAGCATTGAAATTACAAGGAGAAATTTGATGCTGAGTACAATTAGGGCTTAAAGGGTTAAATGTACTATTGTGATGACAGCTTTAAGAGCGCAGCTTTAACTTCACTATGCAAAGGAAATAAGGATGGTGTAAACATTCTGCACTGAGTAAAGCGTGTTCCTCTCTTTTTAAAAAGGCGTTTTCACACTAACCAGAACTTAACTGATTTACATGTACTGACTCTTCTTGAGGCAAAACACAGCCGATGCGTTTGTGCTACCATGTAAAATATTGTCACCAGGGATTTCAGCTCAATCCCTTCTCGACAGGTGTGTTCTCAAAAAACCTTGGCTTTCATGGGAATCCCACTTACTGTGCCACGAGCAGCATCGTGCAGGGGTACACGGCCGACAACTCTTGAACTTAAATGGTAAAATTCTTTCTCATAAGAAGTCATCAGTGCATTTTAAACTCCCTTCCAACATCAGGATTTAGAAAGTCAATTTTACTTTTGCTCCAAACACGCACATTGCGCGGTACATTCAATAATGTACTACTACCAGCCATGCACTAGTCGAACCACAACTTGCAATAAAATTTACTGGGCATGATAAACTTATGCGGTCGGAGTGTTGAAGCGTTAAAGCGTTAAATAGAAAGTAAAACCGGAACTAGCCTGCGATCCTCGCTCTTCGCTTTATTCGCAGGCTAAACCTCAACTGAACAAATGCACTTGAAAGCCAAGAATTGGATTAAAAAGCACTCTCTGGTTGAATATTCAAAAACGTACGTGTTCTGCTTCCAGTTCAAAGCCTTTCACATGCTTTAAGGGATATGATGTTAAAAAGCACAACACGAAAAATACATGCAGATTGAGAAAAAATGTGTGAATAATATAGAAAACGCTAAAATATAAGGCAAATGATCACAAGGCAAAAGAATAGTCGCCGATCATTCACAACTTCCAACATCCCCCGCAGGTTCTGTTCAAATTTCTATCACATTAGCCACTTTAGCCCAATGTAGTGGTTTAATGCCTTTCCAAAGAAGCGATGTTTTGGAGATTGGGAATTTGAAAAATACAGTTTCGTGAAGTTTGGTCTAAAAATAAGGGGGCTCTCGGGCCCCTCCCATCTCACTAAGCGAAGGATCGCATATATTAAACCACGTTGTCAGACTCGGATCCTCCAGAGAAGTTATAAAACTTGACGTTGGCAGTTCAAATTCCACACCCCACCTAGGCAAATGATCAAATTCCCTACCCCCCCCCGGCACAAGTGATGGTCAAATACCCAGGGTTTGCTAGGGGGGGGGGGGGGTGGCGAAGTTTCCAATTCATCAGCGCATAATGGCTTCCAAGTAATTGTCTGCCGTGCTTCATGGGTATCTCTGTTGTGGTGGGTGGTAGTGGGTAGTGGTAGAGCTGGGGGGCGGAAGGGCCACACACAGTGCAAGGGGTGCAAAAAAATTATGAATTTTGAGCTGTTTTGGTCTGAGATCGGATATAGATTGTTGAAACAACCAGGGTATGGTTTTGATCTGGAATTGGGTATGGGTTTTAGATAACGTAAAGTATTATGCTTTACTCTTCTCTTGTACTCATGGGATTAAGCTTTTCTCAAGTGTTGACACTAATACAAGAAGTTTGGGAGAAGCTGGGCTATCATGCTCATGCATATGTCTAAAATGAGGCATCGAATTTTCGGTCATGCTAGGAATAAGGAAGGGAAAACTTTAAATTCTGGTTGCACAAAGGAAATAGTGAGACAAATAACACCCCTTCACAGATGTTTAGAGGACACTCCTCCCCCAGCCGATCAGTAGTGTATTTCAACGCTTCCATTATCGAAATATGGGGAAATCAGAGGAATGGCAATTAGATTACGAGTACGCTGAAATATTTGAAACGTTTTAGAGCTTTTTAGCATCTTATTTTAATTCACCAAATTCATTGCTCATTGCTGAAAGCGCAACAGCTAGGATTTTTCCCATCGGTCACGAGTCATATTACATCTGACAGTCTTTACGCCACTGACGGTTCTTGTCTATGTGAAGCTTATATATTAGCTTCTCTGTTGGGATGCAGATTTCCTGTTGATCCAAAACTCGATAAAAACCCTTTAAATAAACTAACTTTGCATCCATATAAAAAAATCATCCTCTTCTGTAACTCCAGCTCCGAGGATTGATACCACGTGGAACGAGTTTCCAAAGGACATCATGAATCTTTTCGAGAAAGCGCTTTCTGGTTTGTAAAAGGCTTTCTAAGTTTAGTTTATCTTTTTTTAAGGATTAACCATATTAACTGGTCCACATCCCGCATAGCCATTTACACAAATTGACGCGATTTAGATTAAAGGCAAATGAGTTGAATCAACCCACACAAGTACTACGTTGACTGATTCGTGATTCTTAACAGAAGATACTAGTTAAACCACTAAAAATAAAGCTCAAATACTCACCTGAAAGCTTTTTCAATCGAGGTAAGGTGTAAACGAAATACGAATGACGATCTTGCGGTTCGAAGAAATCAATTTCGTGGCTCTCAATTTCTCGGAAAACTACACGATCGATTGCGCGCCAACAATACACACGCACGAGAGAGGTCTGGGAAACAGTTTCTCTGTGTCAACCAAGCCCAGCAGAATTCCCATGTAAGCAGACCTGGCCCCAGTTGTTCAAGGGGTTGAGAGCGCTATCCGGTGGATAAATCTCCAGTGGATAGTGCGATTGTTTTCCCAAATAATTATCCGCTGGAAAGTGATTTATCTGGTGGATAGCGAGCGCTATACAACGTTTGAACAACCAGGGCCTGGAGTGGACTATTTCCGAATGGGCGTAAACGGAAAGAAAACCACACATTTTTGGCGAGGGACCCATGCAAAAATTAGGTTTGTTCAAAATAGGGTAACACTTGGACCTTCTTCTCAAATAGGGTAAGGGTTCAGCCAGAATTGCCACAAATCGACTGCGTGAGCGCCAACAACCGGAAACGGGCTTTGAGAAAGTCTCTGGTTCAGCAAGTATGTGGCACCCAACACCCACATGTCTGGGAGCAAGTTCTCCATTTGGAAGAGTCGCGGGGAGTCATGCGAGATATCAAATGGACAACTTGCTCGCAGGCTAATGAGGTCACAAAACAAAGTTCTCAAATACAGTGACTTACTCAGGTTGAATATCAGCACAATGTTTTACGTTATAAAACATAATATTTTACTTTCACTTTGACTGGCTAAAAATTAAGGAAGTGAGGAAATGTTGCAACACTTTCACATTATTTACCTGGCATCACGTCTACCTGAATGTTATAAGAACTGAGCACCTTTCACTTTGAAAGTATTTCTTCTTTTTTTTTTTTTTGGAAAAAAAGAAGAGAAATAAAAAACTCAAAATAAACTGTGGTTCTGAGACTATTTGCTTTGCTATTTACACAGTGTTTTTGCTGCAAACCTGGCACTTCTCTATTATTAGACACAAGATACACTGTATACCATAAATTGGAAGGCAATTTATCTCCTCCATGTATCATGGTGTACCCTAAATAAAACACTCAGGGTTTTATTCGAGGTCTCAAGCTAGTCAGCTAACCTTTTAAAATCAGCCACAGCATGCTGCCTTGCAACTTTGCTAACCAGCAAAAAAAAAAACAATGAATACAACATGAGGTAGCTATAACTAGTCTTGATAGTACTCTGACATTTCTCTTTTGCAGCACATTATCTACTTGACTGCAAGGGGTATGAGCATCGAGAGTGATGATTCATGAAATCCTGAGCTCTGAGCTTTAAGTGAGGTATGTACAGTTTTCAGTAAGTGCCATCATCAACTATCATCTGGCAAATCCCTGCACTATTCGCGAGACTTGAAGTAACACAGGTCCAGTTTCTGGGTCGTTTATGTAGAATGAACTCGAGGAAGGGTTATCCAGCATGTCCTCAAATGCTGCAAAGACACAATGATCATAATACGCACAAACTACAAAAAAGCAGATCCAGGGGGATTTTTCAACTTTTAATATGGCATGAAAATGAATTAACTATGATTATCCATGCTTATTCAGTTTCTTTGTTTGTGTNGCAAATCCCTGCACTATTCGCGAGACTTGAAGTAACACAGGTCCAGTTTCTGGGTCGTTTATGTAGAATGAACTCGAGGAAGGGTTATCCAGCATGTCCTCAAATGCTGCAAAGACACAATGATCATAATACGCACAAACTACAAAAAAGCAGATCCAGGGGGATTTTTCAACTTTTAATATGGCATGAAAATGAATTAACTATGATTATCCATGCTTATTCAGTTTCTTTGTTTGTGTCCACTAAGACTTGTGATCACGCTGAATTTTTATTCATTGAAAGTGGCCTATTGGATAAGCGCCGGTCTGCTGAGCAGGAAGTCACGGGTTCAAACCCCTAACAGACCAACACGCAGGATCTTAAAAATAACTGAGGAGAATGTGCTTCCTTTGTTGTGACATCTACAAATGGTTAGACATTCTAGTCTTCTCGGATAAGGACAAAAAACATAGGCCCCATCACCTAACTCTTCCAGTGTTCTGATTCTTCTGGGATATAAAAGAACCTAGACATGTTCGTAAAGAGTAGGGAGCGTACACCCCGGTGGTGTGGTACAACCTTACTTGGGCTGGGTGGGTAATGAAGGGGTTGATAACAATATTGGGATGTTAGTCCTGTTTCATCCTCTGTCACCGTGTTGAGTCACCAAGGCAAATTCAAAAAAGTAACTTCATGGCCCATATAGTGAAACCCAGCATTAAAGATTTTGTATCACAACAACAGAACATGACACTAAAATTGCCTGACTTTTCAAACCTAGAGGAATGGGATTCTCAATTTCATGAGTTTCCAGGTTTTCCCATGACTATGGGAAACATGGTGTGTATTTTGGGGAGCTGTCTACATTAAAGACATCCTTAGACAGCTACGAGCAGCTAGGCACCCTGTTACCTACAGTAAGCTAGATACAGTTCAAATTCTTCAGGAAATGGTTTGATAACAGTATGTGCCCCAGGCAAACCCACTTTACCTGAAATAATTTTGACCGTGAACATTCTGTTTCGATTAGCTGTGTCTCCAAGGATATCCAATGGAGTGAAAAGACTAGGTACCAGCACAAAAGTATAATGACTAAGTAAGGGTGTCCATTTTAGGGGCTGTTTGTGTTATACAAGAGTTTGTAAAGAGAAAGTTTGCAGACATGACTTTACATGTACCAGTATGCTGAAAAAGACCCAACTATCAAATGACAATACTACTGTTTACACCTACACCCCAACTGTGCGAAATATCTGTTTGAAAAAATTGGCACAGTCACTTACCTCCAAGTACTCGTGCATTATTAAGGCTGAGTTGTACTAAAGGATTCTCCATGATTGCCTGGTACAATGGACTAAAAATATAGAATGTCAAAGAATCAATCTGTGCTGAATATTCAAAGAAATTCGTCAGCAAAGGTTAGTTGTTTATGCAAAGGACAATAAGCCCAGATCCAAGGTTTGATACCATTATTTATTTATAGTCAACACAGGATTGGAGCAAACCCGGCCGCTAAACAACTGAGTTAATCTACAACATTACAATTACTGCATTTTGAGAATATAAGGAATGCCTCCAATGACATGAGCTGCAAAGATTTCTTTTTTACAAACTCTAGAATAGCTGAACTTTAACAGACACTGACATTTCAAGATTCCCATTCCAATTTATAATACAGTATATGATCAGATTGATGCCCGGGGCCTTTTTATTATTATTATTATTATTATTATTATTATTATTATTATTATTATTATTATTATTATTTTTAGGGGTCTAAGAGGGGGCATGTAAAAGATAGAAGGTATTTATTTTCATTTTTGTAACAATCTGTACCAAACAAATAGGCTATCGATGAAATTATTAAACAGCAAAATATCCAGTCTATCAAGGTCTAGGCCATCTAGAGATCCTCATCGCTCTTTCAAATCTCAACTTTAATGTCAGAATCCTCATTCACGATCATTGTGTTGTCATCATTAGTCTACTCTGACTCAGAACTTGGCATTGGAAAAAGTGCAATGCATAAACCCTTGTTAACAAAGCAACAGACTGAATAAATTGAGTGATTTTGCTCTTTTATGCTTCTGGTAATTCCTTGTATTTTTGAGTAACTTTCATGGGGGGTGTCTATTAGACAGGTGGCATTAATTAGAGAGGGGTGTCTAATACAAACTTAAAATCGTTGATGGAGCATTAGATAGACAAGAGGCAGGTGTCAATTATATCATTTAAGGTAATCTGCTAAAAGAGAAGTTCCAGCTTCACAAAAAAAGAAGTTGTTAGCCATGTACCTTGACTGCTCTAAGCCTTGATTGATGTCTTCCATGCCACCTTGTCTGTCCCCTAACAACCAATCACACTACCACACAAACATGAATGTAATCAGTGAGTTTAGAAATTAATCTTGCTGCAACTTTTGGTCGCAAACCAATACTCTTTCATTGCTTTATGTTATCTTTTTAATGGTACGTTTACTAGACTACTGGGCCCACTGATTGTCCAATAGGTTACATTCTAAAGCTATAGGCAGTAAACAGTTCCTCTCCTTTTTGTGCTGGTAATCACTCCACATTCAAGCTTTCCTCTTGTATTTAGTGGTAAGAGTAATCTGGGGAGAGGACATAAAACAACCATGGGTGTGGGATGGGGGAGGAATGGAAATTACCTGGGGGAATGGGCACAACCCCATAACTATGATAATCATAAATAATAGCGAACTCGTTGTATACATGTAGCAGCATGTTTAAGACTCACAGCTACTTCCTGGTTATTCCCAGTTGCTTTAAGTGCCATGATGATTTCTTCCTCTTGAAATCCCATTTCTTTTAAGTTATTTACAGCCTGGAACAAAAAAAAAAAACAATAGTTTATGCAAATTCAGAGAACCCAGCACAGTGTTATTCTTACAAAATACCTTTGTCGAGCCAGCGAAAGTGAGCAGAAAAGATGACAAGCTAAAAACAGTACATGTAACTACAGCAAAGCCTGGAATGATCAGACAATTAACAACCCTAGCAAAATTTTTTTTGAGAAAAAGACTTTACAAGTAGTGTAATACCTGGTTTGTTTGTTTGTTTGTTTTATTTTTGCCATTTCATTATCATTTTTTTCTATTTGTTTTTTATGCACAGTTTCTACAGTAGCTTTGATGAAGTCTTTGTAATGACCTTTATAAAAATCCTCTGGTATCCAGGGTATACATATGATTGTTACAATTTTAAATTTCTACAGACTTTAAAAGTTCTGTGACCAAAACAAGCAACTGTTTTAAAATATATTGTCATAAATAGTCCTTCCTGAATTATTAAGTAAAAAAGTAGGAAAACCAACCCGAGGGTTTGGAACGAACTCTTTTCTTTTTCTGCGAGTTCTACTGGTCCTAGCTCCAATCACCAAAGGTTCATCAATGTCGGCATCACTTTCATGTTGCAAGAGCCACTCCATAGCCGACAAAGGAGACATTCTGTAAGCAAAGCACGGTTCAATGCATAAAGACATGTACTATTCTCACTGATTCATCCAGCTGTGTGTCCCGCATCTTAGACACATAAATTTCCTAATGCAAAAATCATGCCTCTTATCCATCCCTTCGGACACACAAACTTCTTCTCTGTCCATCATGAACAGGATCCATCATATGTATTCTTCTTTCATCCCAATCATTAGGTGTTTTTTGGTGTTGTGGAAACCATTGTTGATTCTTTTTTGTGTTGTGTCATGGGTATTGTTTCTTTTGTATTGAGCCATTTGGTGATTGTACCCAACCACAACACCACGAAACAACCCCCAAATCAAATTGTTTTTCTTTACATGACGCACCTATCAAAAAGCCACCATGCTACCATCACAGGCTCAATCAGTTCTGGTTCTGGAGCTCATGGTCTTAGGTTTTATAGCTGTGTAAGTCCAAGGACTCACTATAGCTGTTTTCTTGATGGACCATTGATTCCTATCTATTACATGTACTTGCACTAAATTTAGACTTCCAATGTGCATATGCACCTACTACGCAAATTCTGTAAAACAATCTCTACAGCTACCAATGAGGACATTAATGTTTTTAGTCAATTCTACTAGGCAAAAGTTAATACCTAGGTGCCTTTACTCGTACACAAAATGCTCCTGTACAGTTATGAAGAGGATATAAAACAAATTTCAGAAGGGAACACTAGCCCTATCAATTTGAGAAAAGTTGCCCCACTTTTGAAGTTTCAATCCATGTCCATTCAAATGCCATCCATTGCAACAGACAACAGGAAACAGTTTCAGTAACAAAACTGGACCATTATGTTTGGAATTCAATTGATGTGGAAAAGGTTCAAGCTTTTTAAAGAGACAGCAAAAAGCATAACATAGCCCCGTCAGCGTGCAAAGAAAATCATTTTTACAGCTTGCCCTTTGGGCAAGCTGAAGCTAGCAGTTACTAGCCCAAACGTCATTTCCGCTAGCCTCAAAAGCTTTTTGACAAGCAGAATTGATTTCACAGTTCTTCTGTTATTCGAATTCCTCAAAAAAACATCACTTGCCCGTCGGGCAAGTTAAAAACAGAATTAACTAGCCCGATAACAAAATCCACTAGCCCCGGGCTGTCGGACACTACTTTCTTTGCACGCTGCCCGTTAAACATTAGTTATATGAGACTTTAGATATGCTCTACTTGCTGTTAACATTATTAAAACCTGCCACATTAAAGATAAAACAGACAAAAAAATGTATATCAAATAATCAAACAAGAAACATAAAAATATATTTTAACCACAGAATTAATATGTGTGCAAAAACTTCTTTTCCACAGCAAACACTGGTTTGCTCATAATTCAGCAATCTAACAGTTCGTTTAACATGCTAACTTAATAATGCAGATTATGATGCCCAAGTTGTATTTCTATTGTTACCAAGTAACTCACTAAATCAAAATGGTATTTACATTGAAATATAATTAATTTCATTTCTCTTTTTCGTTTTCTTTTTTTAGGTTTTAAATATTTCAACAAAGAGTACAAAAATGTCTTTTTTCTACAAATAAAAACAACACATACATTTTTTTGGTGATTCTTAACAAGAAAAATTCATAGAAAACCAATCATGAAAAGTATTCAGTGATTTTGTTGTGATCACTACGTCTGCATCTTTGATACATAAAAATGCCTTTAGGTGCAAAATATTATTAACAGTACACTTCCTGTAGGATGGAAAAATCAATTTAGCGGCCTGAAGGTGATGTTAAAGAATAAACTGTTTGAGACTTGCTTGTGATGAGATCTACCTGAAGCCCAGACAGTAACATAATCTGCTACAAAAGAGCTTCAGAAGTAAATTCTGAAGAAACAAACATAAGCTTTCCATGCAAACATTGGTGTTTGGACTGGGACTCACTGATTCTACCTTGAATTGGACATATGATTTTCCACGAGATGTGTCCCAGGACTTACAGTACCATAGCAGTTTCGTAACAAAATCCCTGAGTATTCATTGTAAATTTGTTAAAACCAACCAGACCCTACACTACAATACAGTACCTGTTTAAAAACAAGGCTTTCTTGGCTCTGGTTTCTTTGAAACCCATGTCTGTTAGCTGTTTAAGGATGGTCTGGAACAAAAAAATGCATCTTTTATAATTAACAAGGGTATATTAAGCTATTATGTTGTGGTCTAAATAATCCTTGGATCACATTTTATTTTTTTTACTTTAACATTCATTACTGCACTTAAAAACAGCAGAAAGTAAAATTTGAAGCAAGGTGAAAAAGTCTGAACAACATACATTTGCATTATGTTTAAGTGGCAAAATTAGATTCAAGTGAAAAATTATTAGTTAGGCTCCCTTGTCTCTTAACCCCAACTCATCAACAATAATAGAGATAGGGAAAAAGGAAATTGTGAATCAATTTAAGTCAAAACGGTTTCACCTGAGTTAAATTTTGGGCATAACATTATAGACATGACTTGACGCATCCCTGTTACAACCAAAAGCCCAGGAGACCACCAGTAATAATGTGGCCAGCAATTTAAAATAATCGTGCCATAACACTGTACATGTATAGAAGACTTTATATACAGTTTTCAGGTGCTTAAATTTCCTTTGGGTTGGACTGTGTACATGTATATTTTACAAATTAGGTCCATTAGTAATGATACTGGTGTTATAAGCATTTTTTGTGATCGCCTTCCCATCATTGTAAATTACAGTACACTTACAGGGTCTATATTTGGTTGCAAATCTTCCTCCTGACCTAAAAAGACAGTATCAGTTCTGTTAAAAGTTCTTACATACATCTGTACCCTTAAAAACAAGAATATTAGCACTAAAGTAGAATTTACTGCATTACTGCAAATGTTGTAAACCTGATTTAAACTACCTTAATTGAAGAATTATTCATGTGTGTACACGTAGAGGCTAAATTACAATAAAGATCACTTGAACGATGATCATCATGGATTTGAGCCTTTTGAGGTCAGCTGACTCTCATTATTATGAGGCCATAGCTACCTCATGTTTCCATCATGATATATAGTGCCAGAACCATACACTGAAAGTGCATCCTCTTCAAAAAGGTTATCCAAAGCTGTCAAATAACTTTTTTTACTATTTTAACCCTTGTTTAAGCAATATTACACTGTTTTTTGTTTTCGTTGCGTTACTTGACTCAAAATATTGCAAAATGACTCCAAAATTTGTGAAGCAGAAGTCACACTGACTTCACCCATCAATAAAATTTGCAAACCCTGTATACGTAGATGACTTGTCTTGATGGGCTTCTATAAACCATGTGAACATGTAAACATGCAGTCATTTTAACAATGCACATAACCCTTTTGAGATTATACCTGAACTACCAGCAGTTTCCTTGTCTTCATTTACAGATTGAAGCAGGATGGAAGAATCAATAAGGGAGATGAGAATTCTTCTGAGTTCAGAATTGAACTAAAAGTGGAAAGAAAAAGTAAGGTGCTATTTTGTAACCAAATAGCTTGAGGTTTGCAAAATTACCCAAAAGACAGAAATAAACCATCTCCTTAAGACAATGCTTAGATATATCAAACATTACAATAGCTTTGTCCCATCCCGACCTCAGTTGGTCCAAAAGGTGGATTATGCTATCCACTGGATACATGTAAATCTCTTTCCAGTTGATAGCGCAGTCATTTTTCCTGATACTTATTCAATGGATGGTGATTTATCTCATGGATAGAGTTATCCAATGTTTGTTTGGATTTTAAGTGACAGGGACGTTCAAATGGGGGCAAAAAGCAAAACCCAAAAGATCCCTGGACCAAAAATTAACCCCCCAAATATCCCACGCTGAATGTGCTAGTCGTAAAAGTTTTCAGAAAGCATTAAATGATATAACACTAAAATAAAGTTTTAAAAACAAGTTTGCTTGTACTTTACTAGGAGAACTACTATACCAGGATACGCGGGCAAGACCACCAGTCCTCAGATAGTTTTGAATACCTCATAAAATCCCTACTCAAACAACGCCACCCAAAAAAATACTTGCCAAAAATCAAATTTCAAACCCAAAAAAACCCTTTGATCCCCCCCATCCCCCCCACACCCCCCCCCCCCCATTGAGCTCAAGATATATTGCTAGTACACTAAATCCTCCAGCAACCACCCCAAATGTGAGGCTTTGTTGGTCACTTACAGGAATCTAACCACACAGGGGGGGGGGGGGGGGGGGGGGCTCTCTAGAAGAGGTCAGAACAATGTACATTTTGGAAGAGAATACAAATGCATGCAATCTCTAAGTTATGATGTGTGTAATTTTAAAGGGACTGGTTCACGGTTCAGCGCATGCTCATTAATTAAATTACTTTTTTCCAGTTTAATTAGTTTAACAATCCCACTCACATGTATCTCAGCGATCTCAGAGTGTATTTCAAAGTAGAAGTGTATTTCAGAGAGACCTGAAGTAGGATAGAGGAGTACTAAAATTGCAGAAATTAGTGCATTATGCCAACACTACCAACGTTGAACTTATTGCTGACCCAAAGGTTTTATTCTATGGTTGATGAATTTACAGCTATTTGCACATAAGTTGATCAAGTGACTACCAGGGTTGTGTGCAGATTGGTTCTTTGACAACATTATGACATGATCATATTGCTTGCATAGACATGATTCATGAGCATGCACTGCACCGTGAAACCTTTCCTTTAAGTTCCCACTGAAAGTTTTATGTCTTGGTATTTTCTTCGTAGTGAAGTACAACAAACACAATTATGATTAAGCCATGTCTTAGGTAGTTGCTTACAGGAGGATAAAAACAGTGTAAAATCCGCTGTCGCTTAAGGGAGGTTCCAACTAAAGTGATTTCACTGGGAAAATTTCACTGTTTTGGATAGGTGGTCGCACATGGAGGCTAAACTGTACTTCTCCACACCCTGTTAACTAGTCCATTACAGCATTGCCCTCGATTGACAGGGACGGCACAGAACAAAGGTGCTTCTCCAAGAATACAGTACATTGACAGGTTTAATATTATTAATCCTACTTACATCTAAAGTAGGAGGGGATAAGTTTGCAAATTGGTCCTTGACCTTCCCTCCATCAAGTTTCGCAGTAAGTTTCTTCACCATTTTGAGATCAGGCACTTGGGAACTGTTACTTTTACACTCCTGCGTAATTTCAAGTTAGAGAAATAAATTTATAACTAAAGCAGTGACAAAAATTGAGTATGCAGTTTTTTTTAATGTACAGTAAGGAGTCATACATCAATGTATAGCCAAGGCCCTTTTACAATGTCTGATGTAGGATTAAAGAACAAAATGTCAAAAATAGGTGCTTGAGAAGAGTGTGTGACTACTACTGAAGAGTAAAATGCATTTTTATTGCATTTGAATGCTTTAAACATTTCCCAATAATTTGTAACACATTTTTAACCTTTCCCATTAATGCATGCAACTTTGCCAAATGATGAAGAATGGTCAACACATTGACACCAGTGGCAGATCCAGGGGAGGGGCCTGTGGGACTCCAAAGTATATCCTATTTTTGCTTACTTACTTTAAAAAAAACTAAGTCGATGGCAATAGTAAATACTGGCGCATGCACAGTCATCACAAAAACTTAAAACATCCATTTTCATGTCATTAACTAAAATATCAGAAATTTTCAGCCAAAAATTATTTATGAATTATAACTTGCAAATATTGGGCATAAAATTGTACGTGACATTACTTGATGGCCGCCCGTTATTAACAAAATCTATAAAAATTCCTCATTCCTTGCCAACAAATGAGACTGACACTGACCTGGTCATACAATCATGACGGCTACTTGTAAACAAAACACAAAATCTGTTTTTGCATTCACTGGGTTGTTGTTCATCTTTTTCTCGCCATAATGATACAATAATTATTAATGTCTCACAAATTACGCTCTGATATCGTTTTCAGACCATTTTCTAACTACAAAAGCTAAACGAGGATATACGACTATTGTGTTACATACACTAGAACAACTGAGCCAATAAGCTGCCAAATTACACAAATCAATTAAGGTAATCAACATGTGATGTGCTTTTAAACCAATTCCCTGTTATCTTATCACGACATTTAGCACTGTTTGCATAATGTGGTATAAATAAAAAAATAAACCTCACTTGCTAACAAACGAAATGATCTGTAACATCACATAGCTAAGCTTACCTTTTCGGCTATATCTGCAGTTGTGCTTTGACGTTTCTTGAACAAGATCAATTCGTCTGGAAAAGAAAAAAAAAACAACGTCAAATATAGGAGGTAACTCCTAAAGATCAGAGTCAACCATCAAACTTACCATTTTCTTGAACATTTTCTTCTTCTAGTGTTTTCTCGTCGGTAAGGTCACGATTTGATTTAGCAAGAATAAGTTTGTAGAAGGGAGATTCCTTCGAACATTCGCCACCAAGAGCTTTATCCTTCAATGACTTGACCGTCTCTTTTAAACAAACCGTTAGACTGCTTTCTTTACCTGATGAGCTAGTAATTTTTACACAAATCAGAGGGACAGATCTCAAAGACTTCAAGTTCTGAAGTTCAAATTCCCTCATCTTGAGCTGTTATTCATGCATCTCTAGGTTTTTGCAAACTCATGAAGTAGAATTCGTGACCTATTTACGTTCATGCGCAAAACTAACAAAATGTGAATCAAAATAGCGCATCTCATTGAAAAGTTCATAACCATATTTGGCAGCTGTCGTAACAGGTTCCGAGTCTTCCCGAGACCCCAGAACCGTTCCGAAGATTTCCGAAAACATATGAAGTTTTTACGATGTAAAGTCGGATAGAGATCGGGGATGCCGAAAACTACCCGACTCTGCTTCCCGTGCAGTAGACACGCAGTCACCTTTCACGCATTCCAAGTTCCTGCTATAGAAATCAGCTGAATTGAAGCCTTGTAGAATGTGAATTGATTTTATTTCTCGACTGAATTGAATTTTCTGTTTGAACAATGGCAGATGCGGCAAACAATGGTGGTATCCCCAAAGGAATGAGGATTTTAGTGCGATTCTGGGGCGCTGTGTCGGGATTATGTGAGTGTTGTTCTCTGACCATTTTTGATCATTTTAACTTTGTTTTCAATCCAAAACTCAGAATTCGTTATTCTCACTAGAGTTCTCACTAGAGTTCCTGTTTTTCCCCGCTTTTTATAATTTAATGAACTGGATATTAGGATAAAACTGGAACTAACTAATTTTTGTCTCACAAACTACGGGTCAGTAATATTTTTGACACCCGGAAAGCCGGTATTTGTCAATGAATACCCGACAGAAATCTGAAAGATCTCCCTTGTAAACAGTCTGACATTATATTCGCTTTAAATATTTTACACCGTTGTCCTTTCTTCGTTTAAGGAAATTGAGGTTCTTGTTCGAATTTTACCTAGTATGAAAAGTAATACTAGGAGCTTGTTTCAATTTTTTCGCCTCGTCGCAGAAGGGCAAAATAAAACGTCTCATCTATTGAATTTAGGATGTTGGGTACTTACGAGTTTTAAATTTTGAATAAAACACTAAATGTTTAAACAAATTTATTCGGAAAAAAGAAAAAATGCTAGTTCAGTTTTACCTAGGCCTGGTACAAAGTGAACAAATAGCTTCATTTGGGGCTTTTCATCATATCCGGCAGACCAGTTTCCGCTTTATATACTTCTGATAACTTGAGCCATGTTTGTCAAGCATGTGACAAGTCAAAACAAACCAAGCATTGCAGACCAAAGTCTTGAATCTATTTAAGTAGCAACATATTTTTTAACCTTTTTCACATTAAACTAAATGTTTCAATAAACCACTTCATATGTTGCTTCTTTGGGGTCCTATCAAAGCCCCTCTGAAAATAAACTGTGCCCCCCCGGGGGGGGAAGGGGTACTTCCTTACGAGAGGCTAATAGGATGTGCTGCTGGATGGGGTCTCATTTTCCCGACTGGATTGACTAAGATGGGGTCTATAATTGGCCACAGAATAGACTATAATGGGGTAGGGGCACCGAGAGGTCAGTGGCACATACCCAGCAAAAATTTACCCAAGTACTTCCCCCCCCCCCCCCC